CCCCAAAACCCCAAAACCCCAAAACCCCGCTTGATAGAATCAAAGTCATATATTAGAATATTAATTGTATAGGTACTAAATAATTAAAATGAGATTAAAATTAGTATTTGCAGATGAGCTTTTGCAGCATTTTTATTAGCAAACAATCTAGAAATCTCTACTATTTTATCCAAATGCTAGCACCGATAAAAAGACTGTCAAAGAGCTTATGAGTTTTATTTATTCCTAGTTCGACTTTGCTTTCGAGGACAAAGTAATACCTGAAAAATTATACTTGACCACTGAGGATGATTATCTGCTCCCTCCAAACACGCTTGTCTCGGATGCTCTTGATGAAAATCAAGTCATTAAAGTCAAATAAGTAAATATCAAACCTAAAATTGAGACTATACAAACTGAAGTTTAAACCTCATTATTTGGAATCCAAAGAAAATAGTTTAAAGAGTTAGAAGATACTGGAGATATTAAAGAGAATGTGAAGTAAAATTTGGCAAAGGAAGGCATATTGAGGAAAAGATAAAATGTAGAATAGACTAAAAATAAAGATAAAAAGAAAAAGGTGGTTGTTAAGCTAGACCAACTATCATCCTCCTCATCATCTAGTTCATCCTCATCCTCTTCTAGTTCTGAGTCTTCATCATCATCAGATGATAAAAAGAAGAAGAAAAGAGTCACCAAGGCACAGACTAAAGTCGATTAAAATTCTGATAAGAAAGAAAAGCAATCAAAATCAGGCGAGGTGAACTTAAATACCATGAAAGAAAAGATATAAAAGGAGTTTAATAATGCTTTTATGAAATCAAAATAGCTAGAGTCTTAATAATAGCCTAATGGCTAATCTAAAAATGTTTAGTCTGAGTAGATTAATGGAAAGCAATAGCAAATTAGTGACATCAAAGTGACACAACCAAATGCTAAGTTAAACATTAAAACACCTTATCAATACTAAAAAGAGAAATCTTAAAAGTTGTAAGCATTTAATGGAAAACTAAATGAAGATATATAAGACCCTAACCAAATGGAGAGACCTTACATGAACTAGTTTAAACATCTAATCGCAGAAAAAAGATTTTAAGAAATTAGGTAAACCTCTAAAACCTAAAATTAAAATGGAAAATCTTAAATTGACTAATCTATTCAAAGCGCAACTGATACTACTGTGAAGACAAGAAGTTAATAGCTATACGATTCTCTATTTGAAGATAATGAGGACTTGGATAAGGATAGAAATACAGGAAACATAACTGATGAAGGATTGTACAACAAGTATACTGAGGTATACACTATAGAATCAAAAAAGTTGTTAACACAAAATAATTGTACAAGTGTACAGGGCATTATTGGTTCATAGCTAGTGGAAATCAGGAATTATAAAAACAACCCAGTTGTTATAGATCAGAAATGCTTTCTGAGGCTAGACTCTACTGAGATAAAGAAAATAAGAGACTAAAACATTGTTAAAGAATTCTTTAAGGTAGGATAAGATGTCTGTTTCCAGATAACAGAGCCTTGCTAGCAGACATTTGTACCTAAAGTTTCAGAATTAAGATTAGGCAAAATTTAAGTATTAGACTTTGAGAAAGGGGACATTCATATTCAATTAAGAAAAGATTTTATCATTACTGATGATGCTGAAGAATTATAACTAGTTGAAGCATTTGGAGAAAGATATCAAGGAATGGGACTCTATACGCTTAAATTAGAGGACATAGTATTAATTTATTGCAAAAATTCTGAAAAATAAGTAAAGGAACTAAGATAGTTACAATCGAATAATGAATCAGTGTAAGTTTTGGATACAAAAGCAAATGAACAATCATCATAGTAACCAGAAGCAAAAGTGTAAAAGGAATTCCTCAATAATCAATAAGAGAACGTCGGCAAAGCAATCAAAAGATAAATAGAGTATTACTTCAGTGATTAAAACTACAAGAATGATAAATACATTTAGAGTAAGGTTAAATTGAATGATGAAAAGTATATATCTTTAAAGGAAATAATGAGCTTCAACAAAATGAGAAAACTTACTAACTCTGCTGAGCAAGTAATTAAGGCATTAGAAGGCTCTTCAATAGTAGAATTTTCAGAGGACAATAAAATGATTAGGAAAAAAATGAACTGAGATGTATTTTTTGGAAAACCGAATAATTAATCAATAGCTAATTTAAATATTATTAGAAATAATATTATCAATTACGATTTAACTCAAAGACACCATTGACCTCTAATTCACCTTCATTTTCACCTTTAATTTTCCAAATTCCCTTTACTATCTTGCCCTCATTAGAAATTACACCTTTATATGTGACTATAGATTTCACTAAGTACTTTTTCCTGAATTTCAATTCCCCATTTGAATGATTATATTTTCCAGAAATAAAAAATATTCCTTGTTCGTCTTCACCTTTCCCATAAATCTTTTCTTATGCAAAATGTAATACATCAAATGTCATCTCACTCTTTTTCGAATCTTGAATCCAGAACCCTGTCCATTTTTACTAGATCCTATTACTTAGCTAATCATACATATAGACATACTGGGCGCACTCTAAGCAGAGGTCAAAATTATGTTCATCACATCTATATCTAATCTTCCCATTTTAATGACTATTATCAATTGTTCCTCCAATGCACTTTTTAAATAAGGATCTACCACCATCACATATCCATTAAGTATCTAGCTTAGGTCCCACAAGTAAGCAATTGTGTGCTGATAGTTTCAAGCTTCCATATAGCAAGTCAAAATTTTATTCTTTTTTTCTCATTTTTAGCATATTTCTGCTTAATTTAAGCTAGAAAACAGCTCCATCCCTACGAATATATTTGGATCTAATCGACGCAAGGTATTCATCTAATTTTCCTTTGAAGGAAATTTATTACTCCTCTCCTTGATTAACTTTATTCAATGTTATTTCTCTTGTTGTAAAATCAAAAGCACCTTGAATTGTAAAGTTAGCATTTTGATAAGTTCCTGCCCCATTAACCACATTTCTTATTAAAATGAAATACTATAGGTCAAAAGCACTTTTAATTCCATCTTCAGATATGTACGCATTCCACTATATCAAATTTTTGGAATCCTATGCAGCCTTGGCACACTGCTCGCATAATACAAAATCTGATGATAGATCGAAAAACCCATACTCATTTTAAGTTTGGTTCGCTTTATTGAATCCTTTTTAGCAACCATTCGAAAGTAAAGATACTGCGTCACACTTCCATCCATTATTTTTCGTTCCTTTCACAGTTTCATTTGGCCAGAAACTAAATCTAATGGATTCTTTATCTTAACTTCTAATAAAGGAGGCTAGATAGGCTTCATCTATCAATTAAATATTTTTCCTAGAACTTGATTTAGATAGATCTAAAGATATGGTTTTTTAATCAGAACAACATATTCCCATTGATTTGACGTATTATGTAGAAGTCGAATTAATACTTCGAAATAAATCTTAATTTTATAATTTAATTAATTCTTTCATAATTACATAAATTTCTATGAATTTTTCATTAAGGGGTTTTGGGGTTTTGGGGTTTTGGGG